AGGTTGAGGAACCCTGCTGTACAACATACTACACAGGTAGCAGGCTAAGACACTTAGAATATGTTTTTTGAAGAAAAAGAGAAACTGTTTAAAAAACAACCAAAGTGATCCAAAGAGAAATAAGTAATCACAGATGCCCGAAGTACAGTATAATAATATTTAAGGAGCAATTAGTGGCTGGGGAAAAAAAAGGGGGGGCTACTAGAATCCTTTTTCCTACAAAGTTTTTTCTATAGCCTTTTTGCTTCCTTTCCCTTTTTAAAAAAAACTTTAAAAAATCTTTTTATGATCATATTTCATTTCAGCCTTTGCTCTGATGTTTACTTTATATGTATACAGATAGTCCTTAATGACCGTTCATTTAGCAATTGTTCAAAGTTACAACGGTGCTAAAATGACTTACGACTGATGCCCGAAGTTACATCATTGCAGTGCCCCCCGCGGTCACGTGATCAAGATCCAGGTGCTTGGCAACCAGCTTGCACTTACGACGGTTGCAGCATCCTGGCGTCACATGATCGCCAATTGCCACTTCCCAGCTGGCTTCTGGCAAGCAAAATAATTGAGGAACCGTGTGATTTGCTTAAAAGATCATAAAATTGGGTCTGGTCATGTGATAACTCACTTAACAACTGCATTGCTTAGTGACCTAAATGCCAGTCCCAGTTGTGGTTGTTAAGCAAGGACTACCTGTATGTATTCTTTTCCCTTTTCTTTTTGCTTTTTTGTTTGTTTTACCTTATTAATAAAAAATAAAACCAGGAAGGGCTACAGGAGACAATCCCTCTCTTGTCATCGGAAGGGACATGGCCAATTTTTTTCACCCTTTTTGGGGGAAGGGAGAAGGAGGGCTCCCTATCTCTTCCTGAATCCCTGAAAAACAATCCGAAATCAGACTGCTGATCTTTGACCTTCAGCCACTGAATTTCTTGGGCTGCCTGGGGCTGCACGCCAGTCAGGGATCGCTCAGTCCTTGTCTGTGGCCACAGTGGAATGGCAGAAATATAGTGGTCCTCTCCTTGACTCTCTTGCTGGGGTAAGCCTTCCAGCTGCTGAGGATTGGGAACAGGCTGGTCCAGCAGGTGTTTTATTTTGTTTTCTCTGGCCCAGTTGCCCAGAAAGTTGGGGTGGTTGCCACCATTTGTGGAGTCAGAGGGAATATTTCTCTGAACAAAAGCTAGCAGCATCAGCTTGACTTCAGCATCCATGAAGTAGGCTAGCTTTGGCGATGGGACCACCAGTCTCCCCCCAAAAGGTCTAAGTGTCAAGGTCTATGGAAAAGGGAGCCCCATTCATATTGCCCCAGGAAGAAGTAGGGTTTTTTAACCAAACAAATAATTTTAAATAAGCCATTTTCTTGTCCTCATAATTTTGTAGAAGAGCATGTTAGGGAATTCTTTTTTTTTTTTTTAGTTAGGTATGAAGAGAGGATCTGGTGTAAGCTTTTGGCGAGAAGAGGTAGCCTCTCTGTGACCCATACTTCTTTCTCATTGCATCCTCCTCCTCTTCACCTGGATGGATTTTTTTTTCCTGTTTCTGTGGAGCAGGGAATTGTTCACAATTTACTGCCGTTGTTTAAACAAGCAGCATGAAAATGCCTGGGTTTTTCCCTGCATTCTCCTCCTGCCTTTCCTGCCACCTGCCACCATTCTGGGAAGGGAGGGAAGGAGGGGCAAACACACATCTATAGCCTAAGGATGGAAAAGGGCTGCCTCACATCCTGCTGTCTTATTTTCATTTGGAGACCATCTTCCAATGAAAAAGAGGGATAATTCATGTCTCTATTATTTATTGTGAATCTCTTTGGAGACCCACATGAGTGGGAAGACAGGGTACAAATGTTTCAGATATGATGTATTTAGAGATTTGTACCATCCCATCATCAACATGCAGGGGCTTGAATCTTGGAGTCTCTCATCCCATCCATTATCCTTCACCCCCTTACATTCCTAGGTCTTGTCAGTCCCCTTCGCCCAAATAGGCAGTCAACTGTCTTTTGAAAGCCTTAATTTCTAGTTTAACAGAATAATATCTGGCAAAGAATACGGTGTAACTTTCTGTTGTTTATTCTGAGTGAAATAGAGGATTTTTCTTTTGCCTGTCCTGAACGCTTGAATGAATACACTGCGCGCCTATGTGTGAGTGCATATGTTCCCTCCCTGTTCAGAAGTCTAGCAGAAAATAGGCCGTTCTGAAAAGTGAATTCCAGCCCTGTGGATGTGCTGGGATTACAACTCCTAGAATTCCCAGTTGGTGGCCATGCTGGTTGGGAATTATGGGTACTGTATGCCTCTGTAAGGTGCCAGATGAGAGGAGACTTGTGTGCTGGGCTTAGTTCAGTGGCTTCTCTTAAGCCCCACTCTCTGCTTTTCTGCCTGCAGGAAGAACTGGAGCACCTCAACCAAGCCAATGAAGAGATCAATCGAGTGGAATTGCAGTTGGATGTAGGTAACAGTCTCAACGTTCCTTGGAACACCAAGGGAGGGGCTGGCTGTGGGCCCGCGATTGTCTGTAATATTGTGGGGAGGGGAAAGCACCCTGGACGAAGCAAGGAAGTGGAACGGGCTGAAACCAGACATACATAGGTTGCTATTTTTCCTAGTTTGGGGAAAAGGCTGTTTTGGATTTCTGAAGTGGCTTTCTAAATGGGCTAAGTCTATTTTAGGGCTTGCACAAGTTTTATTGTGCTTTCCGTCTCAAAACAGCAGAGGACCGTGTCACTGATTTTCAGCAGAGGGGGCTTCAGGAAGCACTGCAAAATGGGCTCAGGGCATGCCCTGGGTACCTGAGGCTGTGAGTTGCCCACCTCTGGTTTCAGTCTGCACACACAAACTTCAGTACAAGCGTCTGGGTACTGAATACTGCAAATTTGTCTGCACTCAGGGATGTTTGGTGTGGTGTTTTTACTGTAGTAAGTGCTATCGATCTCTGGCAACAAACATCTCTGGGAGAGGGGGGAGGAGAGGAAATTGTTCTGCAGTTGTGCTGTGCATGGAGATACAGCTCAATTTTGGGGAAGATTCTTTTTCCCTCGCTTCAAGCCAGAAAGATTACAGTTGGAGATCTCATACCCCCTGCCAGAATTAGCATCCTGACCCGACTACCTGTGAAGGATCTGGAAGGGCTTGATTAGGATCCACAGCCAGGCCCTCCAAAGGCTTGAGGACAACCACCGGAGGCCCTTCCAAGCTGCTACAACCTGTAAGGTTTGGGAAGTAATACACGGATTGCATTTAATTGAAATTTATTTCAATTGCAATTTATTACAATTACATTTAGTTTTGGTCTTGGTCCTGCCTGATTTTAAGACAGTGGCCTACCATTGCTCAAGGCTGAGAGGAGTCCTCAGCCCCAAGGCTTATCCATCCTTTGGCCAGACTGTGATGAGAAACCGTTTTTGGCCCTGAGGTATCTGCGTATTTCTCTCCTTCCAAATGGTCTACACACTGCCATTAGCAGTCAGAAACCAGTGCCCTTAAAATGACTTGCTGGAAAAGAGGAACAAGGTGTAACTTAGTTGCAGTGCAGAAGTGGTGATCCTGAACAGGCTGATTGGGAAAGCTGGAACTTCCCTCCTCAGGTAGTTGTTCCCTAATCATGGGTTGGACATCTGGAGATGGTTGTCACCTATGAGCTGGACAGAAGCCAGCATAGACTTGAACAACAGTTTTTCCTAATAAACTGGGTTGCCTTGGATATGACTTACCTACCTTCTCCCTTAGTGGGCTACCAGCAAAGGGGACTTAGCACAGAAGGGACAGAATAGTAGGCTTCAGGCCAGGAGGTGAGCCAGTTAAGACACTCCCCTGTCTCCAGAAAAATAGTAAGGTTGAGAAGGGAAGTCAGATCTGGTTACCATAAAACTCCATATTTGGACTCTGTATCTTGTTGGAAGCAAGTTGGAGAGTCTGCAACTTATGTGAAGCTTAAGGGTAGAGATGGGAGCAATTTGCATTGCTTAAAAATTGGGGGGGGGGATAAAAAAAACAGCCCCAAAATGTCTACCTCTTCCAATGTTGCCACCCTATCAGTGCCCCCTGGACACTCAGGAGGCTGAATTGCAGCTCCTGAGACTTCCCAACGTTGCCCACCCCTCTCCTGTTCCAGGGCTAACCAAATTGTGGTTCACAGCTTACACCAGTCCCTGCAGCTACAGGACCCCACCAGAACTGCTGTGCTGAAATTCAGCGGCAAATTGCAGATTTTGGGCAGCGCAGGTTTTTGTGCGTTTTTAATAAATAAAGGCTAAAATAGTTGCATCAAAAAAATGAATACTGCTCAGAATGCAAATCCTAGAATTCCTCTATAAATTGGGTCTGCTACTCTCAGAATTCCCAGCAACAGTCCCAATATATAGGGGACACTGAGTTGGGGAGGACTATTTCAAAGGATTCCGAAGTCATATGATTAGTTCTGCTAACCCAAAAACAGTTTTCCCCCCGAATAAGAAAGATCAGTTAGTACTTTGGCCTAGTTTAAACTGTGGATCCAGTTTTGTGGCTTCTCTTGCAAACTGCCTGGTGTGACGTAAAGGGTCACCTCCCTGAGAATTGGTGGGAACGTGAGATACAGTGGGGCAAAAAAGTATTTAGTCAGCCACCAATTGTGCAAGTTCTCCGACTTAAAAAGATGA